AGACCTGACCTCTGAAGCAGGGGTCAGTATGAGATGGTTTCAGCTTGATAAAGGAAACCTTCCAACTTGTGACTGGCCCAGCACTGGATATCAGTGATGTCATTAATGTCATGCAAGGTGCATATCGAGCGTCGGTATCTCTGTCCAAGTTTGTGGACATGAACACATAAACATTTCACTAAGGGCTCAAGATTTGTGATGAATCAACAAAGAAAGGGCATGGCCAGCCCTTCTGCTCTTGTGGAGATACTGAGAAGGAGACTTTAGCACCTATGGAGCTGTCTGGAGTGCTGTGATGATAGTCCTCACTAATCACCATCCAACTACTTCTCTGCAGTAAAGGATGGGCACTGCACCACAAAATGAAGAAATCTGATGATGCAGATTATATCCACTGGATCTGGTGCACAACAGTGGATCTGAAGTGCTGCAGCAGGCTTTTCACTGGTCCTGACAGCTGGTAACTGCTGTCAGCGGTGTAGGTCACAAATTAATCATGTGGATGTGGAAGTCAGTACAAACCACCACATTATCTTCCCTGAGCACAAGTGTTTGTCGCAAATCTAGAACAGAGGATTGACATGTTCCTAAACTTAACTGCAGTCAGTGGACTGAATAACCTGGCAGGACATGTGCTGTGTGTGCATACCTTTTTGACACTCACAAGTAACAGGTAATTATGTACACATGGCACCACTGACCATATACATTTCCATGTATTCGTTGCAAAACTGTCTGTAATAGAAAATCGCAATTAAAAGGTTGAACTGAGTCTTTGGAGATGTGGTTGCACATAAAAATAGGGCGTAGTTCGCGGCCCTTATCTTCACTGCTCGTATCTAACACTCTTAAGGCTGTGTAAGACAGGATGCTGAAGTCCGGGGGAGGGAGCCTGAAGGTTAAAAAATGCTTAGCTAGTTTTCATGGTAAAAAAAAAAAAATAATATCATAATCAAATGCAGTCTCTTAAAAGACTGAGAATGAAAAGAGAGTGACTGCAGGAGATTTTAAAAAGACATGATACTTTTATAAAAACCATACTAAAGGGAAAAGCTAAAGGCATGCAGGCAAACAAGAGATAGACAGCAATACAAGTGGGAGGATAACATCAAGAGAGGGACAAACAGCAATCTCGGAGAGTGTACAACTAATACAAAAGACAGAGCCTGTAGGAGATCTGCCTCAGCAAACCTTTATTGTGGAGATGGCACCTGACTGATCCATTGACTATACAGTAATAATAAACATTACCACATCAAAATATATTTCTAATGGATGAAACTTTCATTGAAACTCAGGTGATACTATCACAGTAAAGCTCATGAGTCTATTATAAGTAGGTGAGATCCACGATAATCTCCCCAGCCAAACTAGGTCACGTTCCATTGATACATTTTTAGACTCATCTGCTGTCCGGGAGGTTACCACTATGTTGTCCTTTTTGGCTTGTCTTGCAATTACGTTTTTCTTCCGAGAAAGAGAATGCCTGTGACATAGGTTTCAGCACACTCTCTAGGGGGGTTGTGGGTTAGACCCAGTTTGTAAATGTTTTTGTAGTGTTAAAAGCGCTGGCATGCTTCAATATACAACATGAAATATCAACGCATTGTCGAACACCCTCTAGCAGTGTGCCAAGGTCGGGTGACTGGAGCTCGACCAATCAGGAGTGAGCTAGTGTGTAACGTAGGGAGATTATTGTGGATCATACCCTAAGTGAAGTAATGGAATTATTTCAATGCAGGATTCATATTGGGCGAATGGTGTTTGCACTACATTTTTAGGTCCATGTTCTTAATTTGTGATATGATAAATATCTGGCCAGCCACCTTTACCCCACTGACATTTCCTGGTATGCATTTTTAGGCTGGATCGACCTGAGCATTCAAGACAGTGAAGACAATTAATTCCCTTTGTCAAAGAGGATTCAAATGCATGATCATTGGGCTACTAGGCAAGCACAGAAGCCACCGCACTACAGTGACTTCCCAAGTCCATCATAGTAAAAGAATATACAAGCAAGAAGTGTCTAGGTCACTGAGTATGATACACAATGATGCTGAAGAGATACTCTACAAGACAGTCAGCCAAAGCCATTATTTGTATTTGTCACATTACTAAATATACAAGTATCCATCTTTAGTTGGTAAACTGTGAAGAACAATTTCAAGCTGTTCCGAGTTTTAACTCGCCTTTCAGTATGAGTCACCACCCACACTGACTTCAGTTTTTGCCAGTATGCATTAAGCAATATGGGGGGAAGAGATTTGCAGTCCAGCGCTCGATGGCTAGGGCTGGTTTCTGTCATTCTGTGTGGATGTACAATACTTTAAATGTCAGCAATACATTTTCTCCTTGGGTGTCCTCGTGCTTCAGGTGTAAGTAATGTGTAATATGGAGGAATAGATTTCACATTACATAATGAATTAGTATCTATGTACCCTGACACAGATGATACTGGTCAACACAGAGTACGAGAAGAGAGACAAAAGATAGTGGCTTCACAAGTTTCTGCTGGTTACGAGGTTGAATCTTCAGCTGCTGGTGTAAATCAGGCATCCACAACTCCCAGATGATCTTTAGAATCTTCAGTTGCTGGTGTAAATCTCACATCCACAACTCCCAGATGATCTTTAGAATCTTCAGTTGCTGGTCTAAATCTTGCATCCACAACTCCCAGATGATCTTTAGAATCTTCAGTTGCTGGTGTAAATCTCACATCCACAACTCCCAGATGATCTTTAGAATCTTCAGTTGCTGGTGTAAATCTCACATCCACAACTCCCAGATGATCTTTAGAATCTTCAGTTGCTGGCTGGTGTAAATCTCACATCCACAACTCCCAGATGATCTTTAGAATCTTCAGTTGCTGGTCTAAATCTTGCATCCACAACTCCCAGATGATCTTTAGAATCTTCAGTTGCTGGTGTAAATCTCACATCCACAACTCCCAGATGATCTTTAGAATCTTCAGTTGCTGGTCTAAATCTTGCATCCACAACTCCCAAATGATTTACAGAATCTTCAGATGCTGGTCTAAATCTAGCATCCTGGGCAATTGATGGTGACTCTAAAGGTTTTGAGACAGAAGCTTCAGGTGCTGTGTAAATCTAGGAGTCACATTCTCAGATAACCCTAAAACAGCATCTTCAAACTCAACAATGGATGACAGATGGTGACCCCATTAGTTTGCATTCAGCACAGCCACATACAGAACAGAATCACCATAAACTGATATATGTCTAGTAAGCCAGAATCTTAGATGAGCCTGGAGGAACTTCTGCAAACATACAAGTGGGTTTCTACCAGAGGTGAAAGATCAGACTGGCATGTGGGCCTGCTGGTAGAAATCAGGATCATCTTCGTCATCCAGTTCAAATTCTTCCTCTTCTTTGTCAAGCTGTGGAAAAAAAACATAAGATATCAAGTCTGAGAAAGATATGGTGGAGAGTTAAACGTCAGAAAATACAATAAAACTCAAATGTTATGTGACATCATTTCTTTTTCTTTGTGTTCACCGGTTGTAAACTCTGGTTATAGACTCTAGTCATGTTCCAGAACCTTAAGTGTTGTGTGCATATCTGTTTTACAGATCTGACTCAATTGTATGCAGAATACTGGTTCCTTGCCTATCAGGCCGATGCACTTCCAGACTTCAAAGGAAGCTTCCAATTAGTTGACTCTTATGACATGCTTTTGAGTAGGCAGTGGGTCTAATCGTGTTTTCCCTAAGCTGGGGTTCCAGAACATACACATGGAAAATGACATCTTCTAAAAGTATGTTTTATAATCTCTGGGGTATAGAAACATGGTGATAGGTACATTTACCTCATTCTTTAGAAAATAATATATGCATAACACATCTATCATGATTAAAAAAAAAAAATAATGTGCTATCTTCGCAATGGCAGTAGGACAACTATGGGACTATTACAATCTCTTCCATGATGGAGCTCCCATACCACTGCTTGAGAGCCACAAAAATGGTCGTTTTTCTAAACTGCATATCGTATGAATTTATCTGGTAAATTTCAAGTGTTGCATTTTCAAACCATTTCACTAAACTCTAAGCCACAGAGCCACATAAAGAAGTCTATAAATGGTTTCCTATGAAGTGCTTAAGGAGCTATTTCCCAGTTTAGAGCAAAAATATGATCAGCATATTAATGTACAATTGGGGGTTCAACTTGGGGCAGTCAAAGTAAATCATTAAAATGTTGATGAGGCCACCTGAAAAAACAAAACATCCTTGGTTTTCTTCAGTTCCGTGACTAGTAAGGACTATCACCAATCTTTCCGACCAGATTAGATCCACAGTGCATTCACTGCTGTCTCTAGCCCCAATCTCTTCCATGGTTTGACTCTCATACTATTTCCGAAAACTTTTTATTTAATTTTTTTTTAAATTATTAAATAATCTAAACATCCAGGAAAATGAATGCTAGGTTCATGAAATTGTTAAACTTATTTGCTAGCTGAGAGCTATTCAACTGGCAGCTCGCTGGCCAGCCTGCATAGGCCTAGCAAGTGGCACGCGGATCATTGCCAGCTGTACACTGAGTGATAAATACCTGGTGACGCAAGCTGCCACCATTCCAATGAAGATCATCCATAGGGAGGTCCCAAAACCCTGTTTAACAGTTAGGTTATATTAGGACCCCCGGCAACAACAAGGATGGGGCTTCAAAATAACACACACAAAATGTCCCACATGGGGATAGGGAATTCATTACAGATTATTTTTGCCAGTTGTACTGATTAATGACCTTTCAATGCTGGGGCTCGAGTTCACTGACCCGTGATGATCCCCTATCTTCAAAATTGTGGCCCATGAGTAAGCTTACCTAAAGCAACCTCCCCTAACTTCTTCAAAGAATTTACCAGTGTGACTAGAGAACTGGCAAGCATACTACAGCATTTCTCATAATCATTTATCTTTCCTAATGACATATAACAACATCTAACTAAATATACACTCCACTACCAAAGCTACAAGAATTCACCTGGGCAAGGTCAGCGCTATCAAAAAATTTTGGCATAATTTTCAACCGAAACGGCACCAACAGAATCAGCATGAATGGGAATGCAAGGGAAGCATCTGTAGATTTGATCACAATGAGGAACAACAGGCAGGTCAGCTGTATGAGAGTGAACTTATGCATCTGCATTGTGCGAACCTGTGGAATGTTAAAAAAAAAAACAAAAAAACAGAATTTAAAAAACGAGCAAAATACATTTCTAATGCTACTTCATCATCATCTTCTTCTTCTCGTTTTTTTTTTTTTTAGTTTCATATGCTCTGGTCAGATCGTCAGGTGGTGTGCTCATCCTCAACCAAGTGGCATAGGCGCTCATGCATCTGCAACGATCCCTGGTTGCCTCGAAACAGCTCTCTTGATACCATCATTTCATGCCATCCAGCATCATCTGTCTTGGTCTGCCTCTACCCCTCTTTCCACTGATCATTTCAGTTGTTTCCAGTGGTGGGCTGCCTCTGTGAATGTGCATGTCAGCTGCAGGTCCTTCGTAATGTTATTTCATTTTTAATATATGCTAGTGAAAGTTGAAGAACCATTAAAGACAAGGAAGGAAAGTTAAATGAATATGAAAACAAGTATCTGAGGAAACATTACGAACATAAAATGTAATTTTTTTCAAGAGGGGTAAGGAAATGGTAGAAATGTCAGGGCAATCATTAGTATCAATAGCTATAAGACGGAAAAGATGGCATTGAGCTGGAGACATTCTGAGAAGAAATGAGCAGAGAATCACCAGAGTTAAGATCAAAACAATGGTGTTCAGGTTGATCCATGAAAAAGTGTGCATCTACTGTGGTAAGGTTGGTGCAGAGACTTGTCTCATAAATACTATAATTTCCACAGGGACCAGACTTCCGAGCTCTCCTTCCCCTCTGTAAACTCAGAAACCAGCAGCATGTTAGGCGCGTACTGAGACTTTTGCAGAGAGGCATATTAATATGCTGATGATACATAAATAAAGGCTAGGTCATGTCTCACGGAACCATCCAGGAAGGTTAATCTGGTGAATAAATGCCTGATAAAGTCAGATGTGTCGGCTGAAAGGAGCAAATATGGCAGCTATGCTGTAAACAGGCACAATGCCATTACATCACTTGGACGTACAAGAAGAAGAAGAAGAAATGTTGATGAGAGAGGTCAATGGTACTGGACTGGATTCCATCCTTGATACTGAAAAAATTGCATAGGATACAATGGAATGAAAGAATAAACTGCAAGCCCTATGTGACATACAACAGCACAACAAGATAATGATGAGGAAGATGATGAAGATAACTCATTATAACTGTGCGTCCATGCCATCTTTGAAGAAATGTCTCCTAAAGATAAAAGTGACGAGGATAATTAACTGTTATACGAAGGTAAATCCACTATTTCAATGACTTAATGGCAGTAAGATTATGTAAATATCCTTAGTATAATTTATATCACATTAATCACAGCCCAAAAAGGTGTAAACAAAGTAATAATGGAAACAATAATACGAATTATATAACTGCCTTAAGTAAATAAATTACATGTCATATAAAATATATGCTCTGATAGCGTGATAAACACTTTATATCCCAATCATAATTCTGAGGGTTGAATAGGATATTTTTGCAACAACTACTACTACTACTGCTAGTACTACTACTTACTACTACTGTACTACTACAACTACTTACTATTACTATACTACTACTTACTACTACTACATACTACTAACTTACTTACTTTATGTACTAACTTACTTTACTTACTACTACGAATTCTTATTCTTTTTCTTCTTCTGCTGCTGCTACAAGTTGCATTCTCTGGTCCCAAAAAAATATGTAACCAGATCAATGATTCAGCACAACATACATATACTGGCAGAGACGAGCCACTTACTTTCCGGACGTAGCTGACAGACGGATGGTATTTCACGGGCATCAGCAGCAGTTTGATCCGCTCACACATCTGCACACCACTCAGAGTGGACACTCCCAGGTACAGGAAAATACCAAACAAGGCAGGCACTGGGATGGCTCGTAGGACTGGGCCCATGGCAATGGACAGCCCTGAGATCAAGACAATACAAACGAGTTACTTTTAAAGACCACCAGATGACCACATATAACATGTCTCACATAACCTTCAATTAAATCTGTAGCAATGGTACATCTGAGTAAAAGAACAATAAACATATTTAGATTTGTATGTCTTCCTTGGGCTTATGTTAAGAACTATTCTCAGACTGAAAGAGTTTAAACAGATTATAGTGAAATCATGTTACTAGGGCCCTACGGTAGACAAAGAAAAGTAACACTGTAATCAGTAACATAATTTTTTATGCATGTCACAGTAGGCAATTCAGGAGAGGTGGCAATGAGACTAACTACCTCATCGTTTAAAAAAAAAAAAGCAAAATCTCACCTAACATGAAAAAGCCTACAATGGGGTTGTAGATAATTACCATACTTCTCTAAGTATAAGACACACTTATTTAAAAAAAAAAAAATAAACGGTCTGTAACTGGGGAAATATGGTACACTGAGGGCTCATACTGGAATGGGACATGAAAGGAAGAAGAAGTGGAGTGAAACAAAATAAACATTTCAAGTACAGGCAAAAACAGTACAGTATTTAGTGCACTGGCTTACCAACGCAGTAGTCCTAGAGTACGGTTCCATCAAGGAAGAGAACCCATGTAGGTTAAGGGTATCAATTTTAGGGAAACAAAATAATATATTCACTGGAACTCCCTAACAAGCATGTAATCCATTACTCTCTGTATTTATCACTGTACAATGCAGGCAAGATCTTTGAGCCTGAAGATTTAGGGCTGCATGACCAGGGCATTCAGGACACAGACTGTGCAGGTCAGGGTTTTATTTTTGCCCCCGACAGAAAAACCATAACCTTACCAAGGATTTCAACCTGGGTCTCCTGCATGAGAAGCCCAGTGTATTTCACAGCTGCTTGTCGTAAAAGGTCATAAATTAGGGGCTTGCTGAAACTGGATGTGTTTTTCTAGGGGAAACTCAGAAGAAGAAGAAGAAGAAGAAGAAGAAGAAGAAGAAGAAGAAGAAGAAGAAGAAGAAGAAGAAGGAGGAGGAGGAGGAGGAGGAGGAAGAGGAGATGGAGGAGGAGGAGGAGTGCCAACTGCTTTTTTGAGGGCAAACTCGGGAGGAGAAAAAGAAGAAGAAAGGAAGAAGCATAAGGAAGAAACCACTGACTTACCTATCAGGAGATGGACTGCAAAATTTGTGACCCGCTGCTCCTTGACTCCCAGCAACTGAGGTTTCTCACCAGGGGCATGTGTTCGACTGTACTCACTAAGTGCACTCACATGCGCCACCGTACGCACTGTGGCTGCACACATCCACGGCAAGCCAAACAACCCTCCCAGTAATGTCAGGATTCCCAGGATTAGCTGGTCCAAGTGGTATCCTGAGCCCTTTTTCAATTTCCGTTCTTTTTTGTTGAGGATCATCCTATCACAGAGGTTTGTTTTTAAATAAACAGTTAGTTGTGCATCCTCTACAGTACTTTGCAAACTAACCTCAACATTTACTGGATAGTTTGTGGTTTTGCTAGCTAATTTTACATTTTGTAGTTTGCATTGCTTTCTTAATGGTTCAACAAGCATAATGTTTTTTTGAGTAATTCGTTCACAAAAAATACAACTGCAAATTTATTGCCTACCAAATTTCTCTGTATCTTGTCAGGTGCTCTACTACAGAGTTACATCAACATAAAATGAAGCATTAAAAAAAACACCTGAATTCTTTCCCATGAAATAGATAAATTACATTGTCTCTCTTGATACACTGTCTGTTTCATCAGTCCAAGAGCAACACAATCATATGCTTCTTCTTCTTCTTCTCTTCCACCTTGTACCTCAGTGAAGTGTAGGGGGAAGATGTAACATTCGTTGATAAGCTCTGTCAAGAGCACTATTAGGACTGATGTTCATTTCTGTAAGGCTGTTCTTAATGCTATCACTCCATATTTTCCGCACTCTTCCGCTCACTCTATATAACCAACATAAAATTTCAGTGTGGCTTGCTGTGGCAAATAGTACCAGGGCGTTCTTGTTAGGCTGTGCTATGATGACCTGTAAGACTGGCTTTATTCCTAGCATTCGTCTAATTTCATGATTTCATATTCTCTTTCCTTGAAGCTCTTCTAAGGCATTTCCTCTCTGTTGTCACAATTTTACGTTCATTAGAGGATGTAAGTGTTCACGTTTGGCACTGATAAAATAATGTTGCCCCCCCCCCCCCCCCCCCCCCCCCCCCCCCCCCCAAAAAAAAAACGTTCTGGTAAGATTCACTTTAGTAGTCCGAGGTATCTGCTTGTGTTTCAACAGGGAAGATAGTTGCCCCATTACTTGATTAGCTTTGGAATCCCATGCTTAACCATGTCAAATTTAAATTGACCACAAATTCTTTGTTTACACAAAGTGGGATTGGTAAATATGCCAGGCAATAAATTGGGCAAGGTACTGTTTGTGCCCACATTATTCAAACTCACTAAAGAAAACATTGTTTTGAATGAAATGTCCTACCATTATCAAAATCAACACAATGTGGCCTGTTGCCAAACAGCCTGCAGCTGACTTCAAACTTTTAACAACCCCTATACCACAGACACTGACTATCAAAGACCATAAGGAACAAACATAAATCATCAGAAACCGCTTTGACCATTAGAAGTGCAGATACTGAACTGACTGATCACCTGAAATTACTTGGCCTAAAATATGTGAAGACTATACACTTCACACACATCAATAACAGTTTGTGACGTGGGACATTTAACCACATCAGAACCTGACTTGAAGCTGCACCTCCACTACACTTCTTCTGCAGCCTTGACCTCCCAACTTGTTACATCAGTGGTCACCACTTTTTATTTTCTTCTGCTTTCTCTTTTTCCTGTGTTCGCATCCATAATGTTTACACTGACAGATCAGTTGGTATGATCAACTTGACTTTGTTTAACAGTCCCATACAGTTGTTGTTTTTCTCCAGATCATGCCGGTGTGTTGGGAAATGAGCAGGCAGATAGAGTGGCTGGCTCTGCACCACCTGGTGGTGAACTGATGTATGACAAGCTAGATATTGTGAGGACCCTTTGAGAACGAGTGAACAGTGTGGATGAGCAGATAGATAGATCATTACTGTCTGAGTAGAAAGGCGCTGCGAGGAGTTGCCAGGGGATGTGGTTGACACTCAACACTCAGGGGAAGGATGAGAGGGATATACAATAAGACGGCTAATGGTGCCATCGGAGTTGGAACTCTTCGCTTGCTGCTGAAGATGTGGATGGAGCACTTATGGGAGTGTTCCGAGTGCTGTGATGTTGATTCTTAATTCAACATTCAACAGTTTTGAGAAGGGTGTGTCATTAGACCAGAAGTTTCTTCCTAACAAACGGTACAGAGGGTAATCCTGCAGAACAGAATTTGCAGTTTGTGTGCAACGTCCACCGATCCCACTGGTGAGCCTTTCAGTCAAACACTGTACACTTATTCTTCTGTTATTCCCTGTCCAGAGGCATAGAATAAACAATCTGTCCCTGCTGATACTGTCTTATGATAGCCTGTTAGTCTTTTTTTCTCTTAAAACTTTGTTTCATTTGCACACAACCTTGCACTGTAATTCTGCATGAACAATAAATGTTTCCCATATACAAGCTATACCATATATAGTATATAACAGCTGTGTATCTGCCCAATAATGCACTAACTTCAAATTTGTAACAGAACAGAAAACAATGAGAACGGATATAAATACTCTGTAATTTGTTTCTCTATAAATATGAGAAATATCTTAAAATGTCATTTCAAAATAAACAAAAGCAACATACTCCGCAACCTGTGTCTCCATAAACAGTCAAAGATCAAAATGAGAAAATTCTAAAACTTGTATAATAAAAGAAAATGAAAGAAACATACACTTGTTACCAGTTATGGTTAAAGTTAAAGTCTCACTCAGTAATTTGCATCTTTATATAATCAGTTAGAGATAAAAAAAAATGAGAAAATATGTGACATGTGTCTCCATAAAGGGTTAGTAGAGAGCGGCTGTGGTCTAGCTGCTAGATGCTTGGCTGCGGATCAGAAGGTCATGGGTTCAGTTCCTGACAAGGGCCAGAAAGGGTCAAAAATGACTTTGGCTCCCAGGTCGACCCAGCCTTGAATGGGTACCGATACAGTCCTGGGAAGTAAAGGAGGTTGGCATGATGCTGACCACATCACCCACCAAGTGCCATTTGGTCTATAAAATATATGTCTAGCCCCATACACTCAATATGTTTGAGGGCATGGAAAAGGGTCCTTTACTTATATAATCTGAAAATTGCATTACACCAGAAATCAATGAGACAAGAGAAACATACTCTGTAATTTGTGTCTCCATAAACAGCAGTATGAAAATGAGGAATCCTGGCAGCGCAGCAGCAAAAGTCAGCCACAATGGGATTGTCTTCTCAATGCCCATTGGGTTAATGAACCAGCCACGCTTACGAGAAGTTGGGGTCAGTGAGTCTGTAATGTCTAATTTCTAGATTTAAAGAAAAACACAAACACAAATAAAACACATTTTATAACACAAAATTTACAACTACAAATAAACACTTCAGGGGATAAATTCATTCATTATTAGTTCTTCTTCTTCTTTTTTTCTTCTAACCTTAAGTCAGAATATTTATACCAGGAGGCCGGTAGCCTTGATAAAAGCTATTGTGCAATCTATATCCTCCCATATATCATACATCTTTGTCTTCATTAGTGTTGGAACATGCCAGATAAAAAGCAAGCCAAACATCAAATTTCTTCCATGAAACCCCACACATCACAAGAAATGCTTGGTTGCCGACACAGCACATGATGATGATGATGATCATGATATACAGTAACTATGGCATGTAGCCTATCTCAGTAAACAGCAGAGTGAGAGCTACAAGAGGGTGAGAGCTAGGGACATCATGTGATTACTAGTCACATCCAGTATGGTACAGTTTATCAGGGAGTCATGGTAGTGTGGTGGCTAGATACTCGCCTGCTGGTCAAAAGGTCTTGGGTTCGTATCTGAACACGGCTGATTTAAAAAAAAAAAAAAAAAAAGATTTCCCCCCCCCCCTCCTCCCAGGATGACCCAGCCAAAAATAGTCCCAGGAAACATTCTGGGAAATAAAGGCAGTCAGCATGATGACCACATCCTCTGTTGGAGGCGACCTAGTCGAAACAAGCCTAGGATCATAGACACGGTGCAACAGGTGTGAAAAGGATAATTTCTCGGTCTCTCTGTTTTTTTTTTTAAAGCTGTATTGTTTATTGAGCCAAATGGTTAAGGAGGCTGAGGTCTCATGTGAGAGATCCAGATTCGATTCCTGGGCAAGGTTAACGGTTTTTCTGTCAGGTGGCAAAAATGCAAATATATCCTGCACAGTTTGGGGCAACTGCACTAGCCTTGCAACTCAAAATCCTTAGGCTCAGAGATCCCATCCTCCCCCTTTCACATCAAAAGTGGTAAATACAGGCATGAGTAATAGCAGTCCAAATATTACTTTAATCACTACTGTTCCTCCTTTAGACTTGAACATTTATCAGCTTAAAGTAACTACTACTTTGGATTTAATGAATTAAAATAACACTATAAGCTTTTTTTTTTTTTTAAGTATCCAGAAACCATGAGTTGTAAACCCGAACCACAAGGAGTTCGTCACCCAGTCGCCGCGCAGTGGGTTTTAACCAACTGCGCTAGCAAGCCGGGTGTCTAGAAGTATAAGCGTTCGTTCGTTCGTTCGTTCTCCCTCTCCCCCTCCCTCCCTCTCTCTCTCCCTCCCACCCACCCCACCCACCCACACACACACACCCACACACACCCACCCACCCACCCAGACACACACACACACAGAGAGAGAGAGAGAGAGAGAGAGAGAGAGAGAGAGAGAGAGAGAGAGAGAGAGAGAGAGAGAGAGAGAGAGAGAGAGAGAGAGAGAGAGAAGAGAGAGAGAGAGAAACAGATTGGAAATATAAAACAAGATTCCAAACGCAATTTTTTAAAAAGTGATAGAATGTAGAAAATTTGAAATGGAAAAACAAATATTTAAACAGCTATAAAATGAGTATATAATAAAGATGACTTACCTGTACATATGTCTTATTCATAATAATACTGAGAAGAACCATTGAAAGCAAAGAAATCAGCACACCAAAGTCTCCCAGGGCACGTCGTACCTAATTGGTAAACATAATTCAAACATCAATTACATGGGCTATATATCAGTATTATGATTATATTAGGCTACAAGTTTGCTAAAAGATACTGCGGTCACTGTATCCCCTCATGCTCATCAGTGCTGCATTCCCAGACAGTCAACTTTATTGTTATAAACCCAGACAGTCAACTCTCTAGTTGCATTCCTAGAAGTCAACTATTCAGTTGCATTCCTAGATAACTGTGTAGTTAACATAGCTACACTAGCCTACAATCAACAGTATGGTGAAATCTACAGACAATTAATTGTGTAACTTCATTTTCTGTCATTCTAGGATTTTTACACTTAAATTACTAGTATTGTTACATTCAGTGACAGTCAACAATGTGGTACAACTTACAGCCCCAATGTGGCTTTAAAGTATTTACAATCAGCAATGTGGTTACTTCCACTGTCACCACTGTGTACACATTAACAATGGATCCACAGCTACTTACTTACTGACACCAGTGTATACAATACACCCCAACTATGTGGCTACTTCTACTGAGTGACATCAATGTGTACACACCAACAATGCGGCTACTTTTACTGACTGACATCAAGGTGTACACATCAACGTGTGACTACTTCTACTGGGTGACACCATAGTGTACACAACAATGTGGCTACCTCCACTGACATCAATGTGTACATCAACAATGTGACTACTTCTACTGACTGACATCAATGTGTACACATCAACAATGTGGCTACTTCTAGTGATGGACATCAGTGTGTACACATCAATAAGTGTGGCTACCACTACCGACTGAGGCCACGGTGTAAACATCAACAATGTAGCTACCTCTACTGACTGACATCACTGTGTAAACATCAACAATGTGGCTATCTCTACTGACTGACATCACTGTGTAAACATCAACAAAGTGGCTACCTCTTCTGACTGACATCACTGTGTAAACATCAACAATGTGGCTACCTCTACTGATTGATATCACTGTGTAAACATCAACAATGTGGCTACCTCTACTGACTGACATCACTGTGTAAACATCAACAATGTGGCTACCACTACTGACTGACTGATATCACTGTGTAAACATCAACAATGTGGCTACCTCTACTGACTGACTGATATCACTGTGTAAACATCAACAATGTGGCTACCACTACTGACTGACTGATATCACTGTGTAAACATCAACAATATAGCTACCTCTACAGACACCAAGGTGTATACATCAACAGTGATGTGACCTCTCAAAACTGACACCACTGTGTACACATTAACAGCTACTTTTCAGGAACGAGACCACTGTGTACACATTATCACTTACATACAATTGAACAATGTTGCTACTTTAACCAACTAAACAATTGAGCGGTTACTTCTACTGACTAAACAGCAATGTTGTTACTTTACCAACTAAACAATTGTGTGATTACCTCTATCGTCTAAACAACTGTGTGGTTACTTCTAATAATTAAACAACTGTGTGGTTACTTCTGCTGATTGAACAACTGTGTGGTTACTTTCTCCTGATTAAACAATTGTGTGGTCATTTCTACTGACTAAACAACTGTGCGGTTACTTCTGCTGACTCAACAACTGTGTGGTCATTTCTGCTGATTGAACAACTGTGTGGTTACTTCTCCTGATTAAACAACAGTGTGGTTAATTCTACTGACTAAACAACTGTGTGGTTACTTCTCCTGATTAAACAACTGTGTGGTTAATTCTACTGACCAAACAACTGTCTGGTTACTTCTGCTGACTGAACAACTGTGCGGTTACTTCTGCTGACTCAACAACTGTGTGGTCATTTCTGCTGATTGAACAACTGTGCGGTTACTTCTGCTGACTCAACAACTGTGTGGTCATTTCTGCTGATTGAACAACTGTGCGGTTACTTCTGCTGACTCAACAACTGTGTGGTCATTTCTGCTGATTGAACAACTGTGCGGTTACTTCTGCTGACTCAACAACTGTGTGGTCATTTCTGCTGACTGAACAACTGTGCGGTTACTTCTGCTGACTCAACAACTGTGTGGTCATTTCTGCTTTCTAAACAACTGTGCGGTTATTTCTGCTGACTCAACAACTGTGTGGTAATTTCTGCTTACTAAACAACTGTGGGGTTATTTCTGCTGACTCAACAACTGTGTGGTCATTTCTACTGACTAAACAACTGTGTGGTCATTTCTGCTTTCTAAACAACTGTGCGGTTATTTCTGCTGACTCAACAACTGTGTGGTTACTTTTACTTCCTAAACAATTGTGCTGTTACTTTTACTGACTAAACAATTGTGTTGTTACTTCTACTGACTAAACAACTGTGTACTCACACTTCTGCCTAGAAACTTGCTGTTCCTGAAGACCCTGAGAAAGTAGGCTATCAAAAATGTACCAAAGACTAAAATCAGTGAAAGCAGGGCAGTGTTGGGCTGGTTCAGAACTTCATCTTCTCCCTTAGACACTGGAGTTTGCCATTCAGAATTATTGTTCACTCCATAATTCACTGACCAATTTGTGAAGCTGAAAGACGTGGAATCATTGTATGTGTGATTGTCGTCGCTCACTAAACAGTAGTCTTCCATCAACGGGTGGTCAGAAAATATCTAAACAATGAATGGAGAGAAAACCATGCAGTTAAAACATAGGAAGTAGTGAAACAAAATATCATATAATTGACTGGCTGTAAACACTGGTGGAAAGTTCTGGGTGTCTGTGCACCTGTGGACTTTAGCCTTGTTCAAGAACCTGAGTGTTGCATGCACATCTGTTTTACAGATCTGGCTTATTTGAATGGAGGCTGCTGGTTCCTTGCCTCTCAGGCAGATGCACTCCAACTTTAAAGTAAGCCACCAATTAGTTTACTCTTATGGAATGCTTTTTTTTGGGGGTGGGGGGCAGTGGGTCTATTCTTGTTTTCCCACAATGGGACCCCAGACCCAGAACCCACATAGGGAAAGTGACTTATATATATGGTAAGTTTAAAAAAAAAACAGTAAAGGACCCATTTTGCATTATAGACATACGTGGCATATGATGTTACACTATTGACCCACCAATATGATGAATACATCACCCTTCCAGTGTCGATTAGTCTATACAAATAAATATGGGTTTATCAACATGCAACAGTGGCATGATCAAGATAACTTTTTTTTCCATTAAACACAGTGACTTGGAAGTTACCAATCATGTCTGGATGCTAAAGATTCCCAGATTCAATATATATATATATATATATATTTTATCACCAAACATGGAGGAACGACTTGCTCCCTCCTAATTCCTGTCAAGTGGATAGGATGCCTCAACATTTGGGGGTGTGGGGGGGGGGGGGGGGGGGGGGGGGGGAAGGGAGTTGCTCCTTCAGTCTAAAAATTGTTATTTAAAAAAAAGATAAGTAAAACAAGTAAAGGCCCTTCTCGCACCACTGGGCATATAGGGGTAGTCCTAAATATATATATATAGACACACGCACATAAACATATATGCTTAACTCTTTGAGTCCTAAAGAACGCATCATACATTCATAGGTATGATGCACTGATTTTATGTCTCTCTTTACTACCTGTGATGCTAAACCCTCTGGGACTCAAAGAGTTCAACAATTTAGTCATGATCCTGAGGACATTTCTGAATAAAATACTTTTTTTTTTTTTAAAGAAAACAAGAAAATCTATTTTACATTGTTAACTAATCAACTGTTTGCAAATTTACTATGTTTTGTTACATTTCATTTCAAAATATCTAAAGATATATAAAGGAAGTAATATCTAAACAAGAATAGAATGAAGCATTAAATGGAACACATTTTCATGCAGCCTAAAGCAAATATGAACTGAGTGATTCATGTCACAACTTCATGACCTTTATCACTGAAGCTTACGGGAAAACAAAGTGGCTTAAAAACTATTGATTTACAAGGAAACCCCTCTAAATGTTATTTTTAGTAAACATCTGGGCTTCCAAATACTACATCCTTCTAAACACTATGCAGGGGCACACAGAATAAATGTCATTTAACTATGCTTTTCGAAAGCAGGTCACTGCAGAAATGGCTGGTATTTAGGGGCTATATCACAACATGAAGTGACAAGAATTAGAATTCTCAGGACGACAGAGTTAACAAGGTACTCAATTCCAAAACCAGTTAGTAAGGGACCTATGGTGTTGACACCAATTAGCCAAGCACTTAATGATGATTGATGATGATGATGGTAATGGTGATGGATGATGATGATGATGTTACCGATAATGATATGAGCACCTGTCAATATAAAATGAAGAAAAATCATAAATAAATTCACTTCCACTAACCTGCATTAGCTTCTTCACCACCTCATAGATGAAAATCAGCGAGATCAGAATGGCAAAGATCTCCTCTGTGAAGCGTGTGATGTAACGTACAAGAAAGCTACCTTCCAGCGCCACAGCCGCACTTGTGATTGCACATACCCACAGTCCAACCCAAAATCGGACTGGCAAAAACTCAAAGTTATTGGACAAACAAAACTGGGGAAGAAAGTTTCATTCAAATACCAGATAAATGTATTCAACAGTGAATACTGTTTACATGCTAAACAAAAGCAACTTGTAGTACTGCATCACATATTTCATAAGACACAATCAGACATGAGTGCAGGCTTGTTAAATGTGTGCGAGGTGAGGAGTGGGTCAAAGTGTCCGAGCAAGTTTCAGACTTGTGCAGGGTTCTTATCACTTTGGGTCGTGAGTGAAAGGGACTGGCCAGCTGGTGCTGCAGAATCAGAAGTTCAATAAATGATTCATAACAATTCCTACCAAAGTGATGTAATTATCTATACAGATGGCACTGTGTTGAGAGGCAGACAAAGTGCACAGGGGGTTTATAGCAAAAGGTGAATGGATGTCCCTTAGTGCAACAAAGCCTGGCAAATGATATCACAACGTCTAGTTTGAGAGAGGAGGTGGAGGCAGTCACTGCTGGTTACTTATTCATGTCTGGATTTTTAGTCTCCTTCAAGGACTAGAGCGCTGCGTGCACAGCCATTTTACAAATATGGTTTATTTGTGTGCAGACACTATCACACAGACGCAGCTGACTTTGAAGAATGTCAATCCTATCTTAGGTGGCCAGCCCAGTAGGGAGCCTGTTTCAAGGAGGACCTTGGAGAGGTTTAAATTGGTTCTGACCACTTTGAGCCTAAGTACTGGTACATCACTACCACATGTGGTGAGGCTCTATAGCATCCCATGATGTATTCAATTTTCCTACAGCGAGAGATAAAGGAAAACAGAAAGAGGGAAAAGGGAAGTGGAGAGAGGGAAAGAAAGCTAGAGAGGGAAGGGAGGGGGGGGGGTGGAGAAGGAAGGAGAGAGAGAAAGAGGAGGAAGAGGGGAATGGACAGAGACAGAGAAAGAAACAAAGACGGGCTGATTTTGAAGGGGAAAAAACAGGGTTAAAAAACAGAATACAACTCAAACTCAGGGAGTTTAATAAACAAAAAGAACAGATGCATTAAGAGATTACCCTTGACAAGTCTGGAAGCAAACAAGCATCAGCCTAACAGCCTCATATACATCTGAAACATTTACCTTGTACAAACTCTCCTCAAACACCAAGACAGGACCCGTGGCTCCCAGGATAAGCAAGGGCTGGCCAGAAAATAAGCTGAACATCATGCCAAACACAGAGGTGGCTACCATGGTCTCACTCACTCCCATAAAACTGTCCGTCTTCTCACCTGTTTGCCACAGAGGGATACAAGAAAAATAAACATCAGCAGAACTATGCAGCAGACTTATAAAATATTAAGTGACCTGATCTGTTGGCACCTTGCCTTCTTTCCAGATGACAGTGTTAAACTGTGCTATAGGGTGACATGGGAATCACACCCATAGCAACAGTCAGTGAGGCAGGCTAGGGAAACCTCATGTTAAAAAAAAATTCCACAATTAGAGCAAAGGATTTCAGGATCCCTGTTGCCATTGCAACAATGCCTGTCAGTCTCTGTCTCCTCCTCTTTCACTTGTCTTTTAGAGAAGCAGCTGGCAGAGCAGTTACAAGATACAGCATTCATGCAGGAGATCCGGGTTCAACCCCAGTAAGGTGTGATGGAGTTTCTCTGTCGGGAACAAAATAAACATCCTAACCTGCACAGTCCATGACAACACTAGGTACGTGGCCCCAAATTCTCAGGCTCAATGTAAACCCTGTCTATACCACTCTAACAAACTGTACATACAGACAATAGTGGCAGTGTTTTCTTCTTCAGTTGCCATTGCATGTAAATGTGATTTGATAAGAGATGTATATTTCACTTCCTGTGTGCAGATACCACAGATCTCCTAAATATCTCAGAACATAGGAATGATATCAGCTACTCAGGATTTCTAGCTTATATTTAATATCCTGCTCTTGTCCTAGAAGGCTAGGTGTGTAATTAAAAGTTAGTTGTGTATTCTTTACAGGACGTTGCAGAACCAACCTCAGCATCTATTTGGCTGTTGTGGTTTTTCCAGGCAAATTTTACGTTCAGTAGTTTGCTATTGCTTTATGGATGCTGAGCTCTCGGTATCACTATCGAAACTAACACAAGACAAACCGACCTCAGCTGGGATCGACGAAGAGATGTGTGATTACTTAGCCTAGAATCAGAGGTCAGTTAATCATCGTTTTCTGTTCTGATTTTGTAAAAATGCATAGGTCATACCATGAATCCTACCAGTTCTGCATGAGCTACAGATGACTGATGTATATATCTAAGTCACTATGCCCCTTAACTCTACAAATGTAATATTGTAGGTTAATCAGAATATTCTTCTGCATTCATCCCTAAATGGCGGTTGGCATGGTGTGTTGTGGTTTACAGCTAGGCGGCAATATCTGTGCTTTTTAGCCAAAATCTCTATTTCAGCATATCTCTGATCAATCAACTCTTTTGACATGCTTGTCAGAGGACCTATTCTTTTTTCTCTCCAAGGGGAACCCGGAACCCATATAAGGATGAAAGAACATGACTCCCCTTTCGAATCCCTCTATGGATCCCAGGGATCTATTGGGGGGTGGGGGGATACTGAAAAGCTCCGATATTGCAGCCTAGCTCGAAATCATAACAGGATATGCCAATCGCCTTTTAAATGGTGAATGCAGAAGAAAAGAGAGAAAAACAGGGGAAAACAAAATCCGTAATAAAGCTTACTCAACAGGCCTCCGAAGGCGATGCAGGGTGAAAGGCAGGTGAAGAAAATAAAAAACAAAGTTTTTAAGCACTGGACATTCACAGCATCTTTGATGTCACTGAGGTAGTGGGGGTAGCGCCGCTGCACGTCATTTCTAACGCCTCCAAAAAGACAGCCTGTCCGTTGTAGAGGATCTGTTGGGATCTCATCCTTCTCTCTTTTCCCTAGCAAGGCTGTAAAGAGAAAGGACATAACATGGGTAACAGCCGCACAACATGAAGAAAACAGTGCTGCTATAAACTTAACATAATAGCATTTATAATATAATTATGAAAAAGCTCATTATTAAAGTATCAAACAGGTGTTAAATTAACTCAATCAAACCTAAGCATTTTTACCTGAAATATAAAATGTTTGTGTCTAAAAGTGATTAAAAATAAAATAGCATCATAGGAAAAAAAAAAAGAGTTAAAAATTGAGATCAAATAGATTAGTATGTGTAAGTGAAGGTCAAGAGGATTGCTTCACTGCACTGCACCAGGTTTCATCCCAAATAGCTCTCTCTCTCTCCAAATCTCTCTTTCTTTACTCTACTTTAGGTAACAAAAAAAAAAGGTCACAAATACCAGCATAAGAGAGAAGGGTGGGAAAAGACAGTGACTGAATTACAATGAAAAACAGAGAATGGGGTCTGGCTATCTTGTAAAAATGCAGCCAGACCACACTGTAAATAAGACTTTCTACAGCAGAAAATCTGGGCAGAAGGTGACAGGAAGCTAAGGAAGAGAAGGATGGATAGCATAGCTCAAACCTGCAAAAGGATGAACAAAACAATCACTCAAGCCAATCAAGAAGATTACAACAGATACAGAAAACAACAATACTGGGCTACAAACTGGTAACAGTGTGGTGGAAAAAGATGATGATGATGTCGATGATGATGATGATGACAATGTCAACAATGATGAAGATAATGATGATTAAGAAAGAAAAAAGAGGAGGAGAAGAAGACGAGTCACCAATCAATACTTGTGAAGATGACGCTACAATGATTGTGACCTTGTTTTAAATTGAATTATATGAATACATGTCCTTATTTAAGCTATGACATAATTTATAATCAATCAATGAACGCTTCAAACAGATTTTTTGTTAAAAGCTGAATGTTTATAGATCTTATAATTCAATCACACTATTTTTCAATTATGTTTTATAAACTGTGAGTGAAAAAAAAACAAATTCAACAACTTTATAATACAGCATTATATTCAGCCAGCATAGTAACAATAGCATGAACAAACAAATGCTTCAAGCATTTGTTTTATAAAAGCTCTTTTCAACAAGTAAATCTGTTAACTCAGCTCACTACTTGTTAAGATAGCACATCTGGTTATCCAGCAACACAAATATGCTTATATTATAACAACAGATGTGTGTGTTTGTTTGTGTGTGTGTTTAAAAAAAGAGGGGGAGGGAGGGGGGTTATTAAATATGCTAAATATTTTAAAATAATTAACAAAAATAAGTTAAATAATATAATAAAGTTCACATTGTGTCAAACCAACAGACACGCTCTCTCTCTCTCTCTCTCTCTCTGTATGTGCATGCGTGTGCACATGCACACGTCTCCTCTCTCTCTCTCTCTCTCTCTCTCTCTCTCTCTCTCTCTCTCTCTCTCTCTCTCTCTCTCTCTCTCTCTCACCCCTTAAATTCCCCTCTCTCACAAGGTATTTAACTCACGTTACATCATAGCACAGTATACTAAATTCACAAATACATAGAAAAATAAGAATAATGCAGATGGTTCTGTTTTAAAGATGCTATCTACGGCCTTGAATCCACGAAGCCCTCATATTCCCTGCCTATTAGGTGGTTCTGCCCTTGGGAAGATCTTTAAATTTACTCTTTGAGCCTTCAAGCTCACCTTAACTATTTCATTCCATGGGGTTTAGCATCACAGGCTCAAGGGGTGGTAAAGAGAGATATAAAATTTGAGCATCTTGTGTTCATTGTGCTTCTAGGTACAGTCTATAAACAAATGATGTGTTCTTTTTGACTGACAGTGTTAAGTTTGAAGTATATTACTTCCTCACATTGGGTTGTTGTTGATGTTTTTTTTTTGGGGGGGGGGGGGGGGGGGGGGGGGAGAGACAAAACTATACTGATGGAAACCAGCCCTTTACAAAAGATTTCAAAATATTACTAGGGGACACAAGAAACAAATGAGTATGAAAATTATTTTCCACAATTTCTGACTGCTAAATATTAGCCCTAAAAACTGGCTCCTTGGTTGTCAAGTGTTCACACAGAAATGCCTGACAATGTCTACTTAGATAACTTGGATCACTGATCCTCCATCTGTATTCGTGAAGGTGCAGCGGATATATAAAGTTGTAATTACATCTTGGCTGAAATTTTAAAGTGGAAAATGTGGTCTGTACAATAGTAAATGTTAGCCTCATCAAGTAAGCACTTATATTTAAAGGCAATGCGTTATTTTTTGTTGCTTGTGAGTGTGTGTGTGTGTGTGAGTGAGTGTGTGTGTGTCTATGTGTGAGAGAGAGAGTGAGAGAGATCATGCATTTTTTGTTCTTTCAGGGTGTCTTCGCCCAAATCAAATTTGAAGATGTTGCTAACGAGACTATGAAAGAGCATTTAAATTACATCAAACGAACGGCCTAGCGAACGATGGTTTTGAAAGAGGGGGGAGCCCGAAGACAACTACACAGACATCAGAAGGAGACAGTCATCAATTTTCGGCCATGTTATGGGAAGAGGGAAAATGGAACATGTGGTGACCACTGGAAAGATCTGTGGAAGGAGGGATAGAGGAAGACAACGAGAGAAGATTCTTGACAGTCTTGTTGCATGGCATGGAGGTGTGTCAGTACAAGAACTAATACATGCTGCAGGAGATCACAGATTGTGGCGGGGCATAATCGACCACGCCAGTCGGCAAGGCACTATTAGTATTCGGCCAAATAGTTGATCCCACTATTAGTATTCGGCCGAATTGTGAAAATAAACTATTCGGTACAAACCTAGTATTTAGAACAAACTTCAACTTAGTGTGAATACAGATCTAAATAGAGTGTGTATTTTTTTTTTTCAATTGGAAGATCTTTCAACAAACATTTTTTTTTTAAATGGAAGATCTTTTAACAAAGGTTATGTTTAAACACACCTTGAAACACAAATTTGCAGAGCCGAGGAAACATTTTAGATGTTAAAACAAGTATATAGAGTGGAGACATATTAAATGGTGAAACATCAAAAGATGCTGAAATATGTTTACACAGTGAAGAAAAAATCTATAGAGAGGAGATACATTTTACAGTGGAGACACACCTATGGAGTGGAGACAACTATAAAGTGCTGACACATCTATAAAGTGTTTTACATGTGTATAAATGGAGGAGCTTCTAATGAGTTGTATTACATCTACAGAATGGAGCTACATAAAGGGGGAAACCATGTATAAGAAGAAAAAAAAACTACACAGTGAAGACAGACAACAGAGAGAAGAAACGCATATAAGTTAGACAGACATTTGTAAAGTGGAAAAATTTAAACAGAAAAATTAATTGGCAAGGCATATCTCCACTCTCTCTCTCTCTCTCTCTCTATATATATATATATATATATATATATATTTAGTGGAGACAAACTGCAGACTTAACAAATAAATACAGAGTGGAGAACACAGCAGAGCTAAAAGATAAACATAGTGAGGATGTACACACAACACACTTCTAGAGAAAAAAATGCAAGAAATCAAAACATTCACACAGTGGAGATGCACGTCTAGGTGTGGAAACACACAACTAAGAGTGAGAACATATTTTAAAAGTTGATTTACGCAAAGACTTATTCCCCAAATGTTTTCATAGAACCAATTTTACTATTAGGAATTTAACCCATATTACCACTGTTAGTGAACGCATATTACCATTAGGGATGAAAACTATATCACCACTTAATAGTGAACCCATATTACCATTAGAGATGGAAACCATATCATCACTCAGTGGTGAACACAGATTACCATTAGGGATGGAAACTATATCATCACTCAGTAGTGAACCCATATTACCATTAGAGATGGAAACCATATTACCACTCAGTAGTGAACACATATTACCATTAGGGATGGAAACCACATCACCACTTAGTGGTGAACCCATATTACCATTAGGGATGGAAACCATATCACCACTCAGTTGTGAACCCATTTTACCATTAGGGATGGAAACCATATCACCACTCAGTAGTGAACTGATATCACCACTGTTACTAAACCCATATTACTATTTGGCACTGAACTCATATCACCACTGTACCAAACCCATATTACAGATGGAAACTATTCCTCAAACAGGAACTGAACCCATGCTGTCAGTGGACACTGAACCCAAACCAATGACTACTATCTACTGAGCCATAACAGCTTAACCCATTCAACCATACAGTGAATAGAACAACAGAACATAAGAGTCAACATACTAACAGTGAACTTATAAACATAACAAAAAACATATATGTTAGAACAAGCAGGCTTTCTCTCACTCTCCCTTTCTCCTCTCTCTCTCTCTCTCCTTCCTCCCTCTTCTCTCTCCTGCCTCCCTCTTCTCTCTACTCCATTCCTCTTCTGTCTCCTCTATATCTCTTTCTTTATCATGTGTGCATACACCTGGCAACAGATACTGTCCTAGGTATGTGGAGTAACCATATTATAATGGGGTAAGTTCTAGCCTTATAAGATGAGGTGACCAGGATCCTATCCTCAATGCATTCATGAACAAAGAGTGCAGGTTGGATTCTCTACATCAAGTTATAGATGGTTTATACCTTGAGCATCCTATAAATGAAATGCTCTAGATATATGCTATTATACCTCTATGAAATGTAGCTAATGACATCATTTCTCAATCGTCCCTGTTTGGAATCCAGGGTGCCATATGTGGTGGTGGTGGTGGGGGTGGAGGGGGGTCAACTCACTGACCCCCTAACCAGCATGTCATCAAACACAGCTAATTATGGACTTTTTTAAACCGGATGTGTTGGCCCAACAGGCAAAGATATCACAGCCTAGCTTTAAACCACAATAAAATGGACAAACACCGCAGCAGAAGAAGAAGCAGAAGAAGTAGGAGGAGGAGAAAAAATAAGTGGAAGAAGAAGAAGGAGAAACAGAAGAAGTGGAAGAAGATGAAGATTTCATCAATAGGAACATATCCAAACAAACACATCTAAAAATAACATACTTATAAAATCGTGTAATCAAAACATCTACTACTCAACTAAAAGCTTTTCTACAAACTTCAGACAAGTTAAAACTCTTCAAAAAGTACAACTTAACATTCACAGAACAAACAAACAACATGAGTGATATTAAAAGAACAACATAAGCTTGTTTGCATCCTCATCTATTAAGCTCCTTCTTGTCCTACTATCATACCAAATAAGGGACTAACCAAACACAACAAGACAGGCAATTGTTCACACAGCAGTAGTTGGTTTGTGAGCATACCACTTTTTCTCTGGCGATGCTGTTTTTCCTGTGCTAGTGGTTTCAAAATACATATTGAAGTTACAGACGTAATGGCAGACTAAATAACAGATGAAATAGAAAACTAACCAAACAAACAAAACTGAACTAGATAAAAGCTTATAACAACAGATGAATCTCAAAATTGTAATTAAAGTCATCAAAGCTGGTAGCAACTCATTAGTCATCACTTTGTACTGATGACTTACTCTCTGGTTATGAACTGCTTAAGTCTCTTTAAAAACAATTACCTCTCAGCCTTCTTTAGATAATAAATTAGTTCACTCTTCAGGTATGAGTATCATCCATGACAATGGCAAATTGTCTTTATTGTCTTTATTTACTACTTCACTTTCAGGCCGGTGTAGGACAGAGCTGTCTTAAGCTGGGGGATTTAGGGTCCAGTAGCTAGAGCAGTTGCCATAGAATGTGCAGGTTAGGATCTCCATTGCAGCTTAGGATCTTCATTTTTACTCAGTTTTAAAAAAATGTTTGTAAATCCACTACCTTATTTGGGAGCTGAACATGGTCTCCTGAATAAAAGCCTAGAATTTTGAACTCTTTGGCCAGCCATAAAATTGCTTTTAAAATTATAAACAGCCAACAAATGCTAAGGTTAGTTTGCAACATCTTTTACAAGGATATGCAACTAACTTATCCAGTCATATGAGAATGGGCAGCCTCAGAACCTGACATGTTGAATAAATAATCCCTATCAGGATTTGCAAGTCTCATATTTAGAATCAGTGTACTCCTTTTAGCTATTTAGCTATACATGTAATATTTAAAAATATAAACAGATTGATAATGGTAACATAAGAAATGGAAATCTGTGCTGGCTGTTGAAAATGGGGACAGTGCGCTTAAGGGAATATCCTGAGTTCTGTGAGTTTGGTTCTCAACTCAATTCAGCTCAATTAACACATCTAAAGTTGCCAAACCAACATTTAGCAACATGAAAATGAAAAAAAGATTCTTAAATTTAAACAGCCAAGAAAGAAATTAAAAGTAATGACAATGAAGGGTTGTGTTTACTTTGTATTATTGCTTGGAGCAAAAACTTGAATAACAGATAAATAGTGACGTTTAAAGGCAGTTTAAAGAAGACTGACTGACTGACTTCAGTTTGTAAGTAAGTAAAGGTCCCTTTACACACCAGTGCCACAGGGGCATATTTAAGACCAAGGCCGAAGTGGTCAATATCCCCCTGGTTGCCTTTACTTCCCAGGACTTTACCTGGCACCCATTTAGGGCAAGGCAGACCTTTGAACCTAAGTCATGTCTGGAAACAAATTTGGCTCAGTGCAATTCTGAACTGACCTTCAAATCTGCAGGCGAGCGTCTTGCCCCTGCACCACAACGGCTCCCTATACACCATCCTTACAGAAAAATGTCAAGTCCAGGCCAATGGCAACATACACATACCTTCCTCCTCCTCAAACTGTTGTTTCTTCTGCTTTCGCAAGAGTGCCCGTTTGCGGGCCATGTGTGTGATAGGAAGGAGAGTGCGATGGTCCCAATCACCCGGAGGAAGGACAATGGAATCATCTAAGAAATTGTTGATGGCTCTGAGTAGTTCCTCACGAGATTCTGCTCTGTAAGCGACTTCATGGAACTGCTGTTAAGGGGGGAGGGGGGAAGAGGGTTGAAAACAAACATATTAAAGTAATATGTAAAACTTTAACAGAGGTTTAATATAAAAAAAAGCACATCAGGAATAGTAAAACGTGTAGAACTTACAGGATAATCTGCCCACACACCCCCCCCCCCCCCCAACTGCCAAATACTGCCTTTATTATACCACTACATTAGATGCAGTAAAGCAAACCAAGTATTGGGACAGCTAGCCCCCCTTCTTACAGCATAAGACAATCCCAATCAGCACAAAGAGACATCTTATTCAAAGCATATTTATTCCAACTCTGTGCTACCAGTGTCAGACATGGTCACTCACAACAAACCATAAAAGAAAATTAGTAACCACGGAAATGAGATGTCTGAGAAGGGCTGTAGGAGTGACCATAAGAGATAAGATCAGGAATGAGATCATAAGAGAACAAGTCGGCACAGAACCAATTCTGGATTACATACAGACAGCAAGTGAAATGGTTTGCCCACTTAGAGAGAATGCCTTGCGACACCATACCATACAAAGCATACATGGAAAGAGAAGAAGGACGTAGAGCACTGGGTAGACCAAGAACAAGATGGAAGGATAACATCAGAGAAACTCTACAACAGCACGATGTGCCTATGGTCGACGCAGTCAGAAGAGCTAGAAACAGAACCTTATATCTCTCTCGACACCCACACCGGTAAAAGAGGAAGTGAAGAAGAAGAAGAAGAAGATTATACCACTTTTGCGGTGTAGGCAGCGGGGTCTTTAAGCCTAAGGATTTACGGCCACTTGGCTATTGCTGTCGCCACGACTGTGCAGGTGAGAATTTTATTGTGCCCCCGACAAAAACAAAAATCACCAGCCTTACCGAGGATTCGAACCTACCTGAGTCTCCGGCTTGAGAGCCCAGTGTTCTAACCATTCGGCCAGCTGCTATAGAGTAATCAATGAATAATACATGCTACATTATTTGGTACAGAATGAGTTAATTAACTAGTTAATATATGACACTCACAGAAGCAGTCACAGCAAAAAGTGGGAGCAGTAGTACAGAACAGTCAGATGCAGGATGCAATTAGGAAGAAGATTAAAACCCAGCAAAAAGTGGGAGCAGTAGTACAGAACAGTCAGATGCAGGATGCAATTAGGAAGAAGATTAAAACCCAGCAAAAAGCAGCCATCAAACCCCACTGGAACACTTCACAGCCAGAACACAATCCTGAAAACCCAAGCAACCTCCTCACATGAAAGAAACAGAGCATTAAATTTAGACTGTGAACTGGACACCACAGACTCTGAAGCCATATTTATAGGAAATTCAAGAACGGTGATTCAGAACTCTGCCCATTTGGACAGGCACTATAAAATATAGGACACGGGCTACAAACATGTTCTCTACATGCAAAATAAAGATTGCAGGTCTTGCCGGCAGGCATTTAAGTGGAAACCAAGTTGTATGTATCAGTGGAATACATGCATCGCACAAGAGCCAGTCGCCTTCTTCTCATTTGAAAACCACTGGCAGAGAGTGGGGAAGGGAAAAAAAACTCAAAAACAATAAGACAGTACTAAAGCTGTCATTCCAATAAAATAAGAGTAAAAATCTGGACTAACCTGATTGGACATCAGAGTGGATAATGATCGCCCAACTTCATGATAATCCATACCTCCTTTCTCTGGCCCCAGCAAGATAAACAGGAATCTGGAAGGTGCATGAACAACAGTTACAATGTCATTCATTCAAGACAACTTTGGACTGGTGAGAATTTTTTTCTTTGCCATCATCTATTTGCCTCTGGCTGAATGATTTGATGTTTTTATTTTATTCTGCCATGTCAACCAGCTTCTTCATCAAAGCAGCTTCTGGTTATAATTTTGGACTGTTTTTCTTGCCCCAAGTTTAACCCTTTTGCTGCTATGGGCGTATTTTGCTGTTTGCTCACAGACTGCTCCGCACGTCTTTGGAGTTGTTGTTTTTTTTTGGCCCTGACTGCTATGGCGTAAAAATATATGTTACGATTTCCCTTACAGACATCAAAGGGCCATATTCTCGGGGGTTTAAAGAGCAATATACATTCGCCATATTTGGATCTTACAGACCAGTCTGCATAAGATTAAACACCTTGCCAGGTGTGTTTAAGTGTAATTAGGTGCATTCCAGGTTATCCGGTTGCTGTGTTTGCCATGGTGAACTGGGTACTTTTTGCCCTGAAAGTTCTGGTTTTGCATTGTTTACATTTCATTTATACAAAATGTCAAGAAAACTGGTTAAAGCTGATGAAGAATTACCTGAGTTTCATTTAATGAGTTACAGTAAGGATCACTTTGAAATGTGTGAGTTATGAGTTGGGTTACCTTCCCTGCACACCAGCAGACATGTGTGTATTTATTGTGTACTTCTAGCAGTGAGCAAGACCATCTGACCCAGCCATCAACATCAACTGGATTGGAAATAGATCCTCAATGATCAACAAGAGGATATGTTCACGTACTGACAGGATGATTAAACTTTATTAAACAGGGAAACAGGAAATGTTGTGGGAAGTAAAAATGGCTGATATGACATTAAACCAATAAGGCATCAATAAAGTGATGACCAGTATATGAAAATATGGAACCCAGCACAAAATATCCAAAGTGACACTGCATGAAAGGAATCTTTCTAACTTTACTCACTCACTGTCACGTTTGAAACTATACAGCTTCCAAGACATAATGCATTTACAGGCAGAGTTGTCCTCAATGTTTATGCAACAAAAACATCAAAGAAACCACACCTGAGACAAAGTTAGCACTGTGTAGTGTTGTTACCTGACGGGTAAGGGCACCTCTGTCAAATTCTCCAGAACTCTTCCTTCTGACAGTCTTACAAATGCCATTGCAGGTGCTTTTAGAAAATCAACTTGGCCCACTAAGACAGTGCTGGCTTCTGCACCTGCAGACATTGAAAGCTAAAATGTTGTTTACATGCAAACAAAAAACATATTAACTCTTTTAGTAACATAAGGTCACATAGCTCAGGGCTAGTAAACTAAGTTCGCTCAGGGGCCAAAATTGTGAAAAGGGGATCACTACCAGCCAGATTGCCACCAGCCAGATCGCCACCAGCCACATCGCCACGAGCCAGACACCACCGGCCAGATCGCCACCAGCCAGATCGCCACCAGCCACATTGCCACGAGCCAGACACCGCCGGCCAGATCGCCACCAGCCAGATTGCCACCAGCCAGATCGCCACCAAGCAGATCGCCACCAGCCAGATTGCAACCAGCCAGATCGCCACGAGCCAGACACCACCAGCCAGATCGCCAAGAGCCAGACACCACCGGCCAGATCGCCACCAGCCAGAGGACTGAGCATCAGCATAGAAAGATCATTAATACAAATGGCAATGATCCACTGGCCACTTTCTAGACCACTATGGGCCAAATCTGGCCTGCGGGCCGCTAGTAGAGTAGCCCTGTCATGGCTGATGCTAACGATCATATCAATAAAATCAGTGGTATATTACATCGACAGGGGTCCAAGTATACAGCACATTGAAGACAGATGTGTGGTTGGTGTGTTCTAGTATGCCCTGAAAAGTTGTAAGATGTACAAACATACATAACATTCTGAATGGTACACATCAGTAATATTTCATTCACATATGGTGCACTGTTTGGTACTTGAACAAATTAGGAACTGAGTAATTTTAAAAGACCTGAGCAAAAAGCAAATAAGAGAAGCGGGACCTGGCAGCAGCTGAAATGTTGATTCTAAAGGAAATGCTAAAAAGAAACATACAACAGGCAGAAAAAAATACATGAGGTTGTGCTTTGAGAAGCAGACGAGAGGAAAAAATACACAGATAATGAATAAAATAAATACAAGCAAGGATAATATATGTTAACAAAACAAAAAAGGAAAAAATATTTTTTGTAAAAAAAACCAAATAACAGATTCAGGAGATAACAATATAGTAATAAATAAACTACAGATAAGATTTTTTAAAAAGGCAAACATATTCTTCTTCATCTGCATTCGACCTTAGAAAGGCAGTTGCAATTGCATATTGTGGTTTACAGCTAGGCTAAAAAATCTACACCTTTAAGCCAAATATATCTATTTCAGCAAATTCATATAGTTAGTTTCATTTTACGACATTCCTGTTGGGAAAAGGGGGGGGGGGGGGGTGGCAGGAGGTCTATCTCCCCCTCTCCCTTCCACAAATCGAATGGGCACCCTTAACCTTCAGAGACAAGCATATGATAGTGGTGAAAATTAACAGTTTCACAAAAGGAAATACATATGATGGTAATCAACAAACCTTTAGGAATGCGTTTCATAATGTCTTGCACATGCTTCTTCTGCTCAACAGGTGTAATCCCGATGTGAATACCTCCAGTCTGCTTGTCCGTCTGTAACAGTAAATTTTACAAATTATTTTTTTTTTATCAGATGTCAAAACAACTCAACCTTTTATGTGCAAAGCTACCAATAAAGACACAAACGTATGTTCTAAACAGAAAACAAATGTGTTGCTGTCTTAAAGAAATTGTAACTTTAAAAATAATTAATATTCTATAAAACTATTTTGTACAATATATAATCAATACAGATAACAGCATCTTTCCACTGAAACATGAAGAATGTAATATGTTTTAGTGCTGATGTTATGCACACTGAAACTTACTGCACAAGTACTACTATTGTTCAAGTATTCAGTTCTCAAGAAAAAGGACTATGATCTTACATCAAACTGCCGTAAGCTCACATGACACGGCTTCAAAACAAGAATAGTAATTAAGTATTGAGAAAACAAACAATAAATTGCACATTTTATTGCCGGGTGTATTATTTTGATGTATTTTTGCAGGTGCATACTTCAGCGTTCACCAGCTGTAAATTCTAGCGGAATGTCCTAGTTGTTTGTCCACCTCTAAAAGTATTGTTCCAGAACCTGAGCATTACGTGCATATCTGTTATAAAGTCTGACTTATCTGTATGCAGAGTCTTGGTTACTTGCCTTTCAGACAGATGCACTCCAACTTCAAAAGAAGCCCCCAATTAAGTGATTCTTACGATTTGCTTGTTGGGAAGGCAGTGGGTCTGTTCTTGTTTTTCCCACAACAGGGTCCCAGAACCCACAAAGGAAATAAGGAAGCAAAAAATTTTCCATTTTAACTAAATTATCACATAGTCCATTGTTTGTACATCTCACCATAAAGGTCTTAGATTAACCATGTAATTGTTTTTATTTACATCAAACAGGATTACTAAACCTAATTTAAACATATGAGATTTGCAGGCACAGTCAAAATTAGGATAGGCAATCCTACATTGTGTAAACAAAAAGATTTTGTGCTTAATCTAAAACCCAGTGATGAGAGATAAAAGTATAATGATAATCTTTGTGATTTATGTATTCAAATAAAAAGGATTCAAGTATATTCTTCAATAAATGTTGATGTCATTACTGTAGCATGCACCTGACAAGATTAATGAAGTATACCAGCCAATACATTATGCAACACACTGTGAATGTCCTCATTTACATTTACAGTGGGAAAACTCTGCTTTGAAAGAACAAATAAGACAGCAGCTGTGAAGGAAACCAACAAATAAGAAACCTCACTGTAGATTCTAAAGAACTTGTAGTTCTGTCCAAAGAATAAGTTTTAAGTCTACCAATGTATATCTTTGCATATTATTCCTAATATTTTGTCCCCTACTCAATTACAAGGAGAGACCGCTAACAATATTATAATTAAATAATTAGAAAGTAACATATTTGCTAAAAATAACCAGCATGGTTTTGAAGAAAAAAAAATCCAAGTTATTTTCTAAAATATCTTAATATGTTAAATTATAGAAATTCTCAAGCAGACAAAATCGCTGTGATCATAGTAACAGCAATGTTTAATTATTATTTCACTAACACAGTGGTTTTCAATTAGCTAAGAATTTTTTATTTATAACGGTCCTGTAAGTAATAAAGATGTCTCGAAAGAAAACTAATCCATGAAAAGAACTGACTGCTCACATCAGAAAAAGACAATCTACATTCTTTGGTTCATGTGATGAGAAGGAGAAAACTAGAGAACATCAAGACAGTAGGAAAGTTGAAGGGGAAGAAAGGCAGAGGGAGACCAAAGGGGGAAAATGCTGGATAGTTTGACATCATGGCCTGCAGGATCCTCTGTATCAGAGCTGATTGAAAGTACACGAGGCAGAAGGTTATGGATAGACATGACCACCAGCGCCCATCTGACAGAGGACTGGAATGGAACAAAGCCAAAAAGAAAACTGCTGACATAGAAGTCTGACGATCTCTCTGGCAAAACTCTACCCTCTAAGGTTAAAGAGGAGCAACTAAGTAAGTAAGTAATATTAGAATCACACACAAAAAAAAACATTGCATACTAAAGTTGAATTTTATATATATTTGAATAAAGAAGACACAAACAACATAATTTAATGCCTAACATATTTCGCTGTATCTCATCAGGTGCATACTACAGTAACAATTACATAAATGATGCAGATAAGTGAATCCTCCTTTATAATTGAAGTACAAATTCACAGCGATCATTGGCTGACGTGTGAAGGATTTGAAGGATTGTCTTCGGTTACAGTGTGTCCAGATTTTAAAACATGGTGTGCTATTGCGGAGGGATGATCTTTACAGCCGGTATTCTCATTTTGAATATTATTTTGCATTGCTTTTTCCTCTCATTTCTCTCATGTTATTTATAAAATCAGCATGATTATAATAAAGTGATCACAACTTTCTTCTGCACAAACATCATGGCAAGCATGCTGTGGCAGCTAGATGCTCACCTGCGGTTTGGAAGGTCGTGGGTTCGGTTCCTGCTGGAGCCGGACTTTTTTTTTTTTTTAAACAGACCTTAGCTATCAGGTTCACCCAGCCTTGAGTGGGTACCAGGCTGGCGTAATGCTGACCACATTACCCACTGAGTGCCGATTGGTCTGTAAAAATATGAGCGCTCTTCCCATAAGCCCAATGCGCCTAAGGGCGTGTAAAGGGCTCTTTACTTTTTTTTTACTAGCCAGCTCTCTGGCCTCATTTGCTATCAGTGCCAATGCATCTTCAATGTCTTGTATCCATCTTCGCCGCAGTCGACCCCTGCTTCGCCTTCCACAAACTGCACCTTCCATCACCATATTTTCCAAGCCCCCATGACGCTTGATGTGGCCAAGATAATTCAACTTTCGGGACAGTATGCTGTTTATGAGCCAGTTCTCCTTGATGTTCAACTCGTTCAAAATGTCGATGTTTTTCCTATTCCTGATCCATGGTATTCTAAGAATTTTTCTGTAACATTTCAATTCAAAAGGTCCAATCTTTTCCCACAGTGACTGAGTGAGAGTCCAAGACTCACAACCGTAAGTTGCCACAGGAAAAATGCATGATCTCAAAATTTTTACTTTAACCAATTTACTAGTGCTTTGCCATAGATTCTTCCTGCTATTTTAATCTCTGCATCGCTAATGCAAGTCTTCTTTTGACTTCTTTTGAGCAGTCGCCACTTTATTTCACTAAGGAGCCTAAGTATTCTAAATCTGTTTCATTTTCTATTTCTTTATTTTCGACTGTGATATGAGGTTGGTGTGCTGTATTTACTGAGGATATATATATATTTTTTTTTTTAAAATTCAGAAACATATTCACTTCTTAGCTGTGTTTTTTGACGGCCATAATTAATTTTTCTAAACCTTGTATTCTGTTGGAAAGGAGAACTGTGACGTCTGCATATCTAAGTCCTTGGATAGGATTACCTCCAATTTTTAGGGGATCAATGCTTTCACATGCCTCATCGCTAATTGTGTTTCTCATAACATTTTCAGCACATAAAGAGTCCATTCTTTAGTTATTTATCTACATTTAAATATTGTTTTTCTTTTCCACAACATATAAAGCTATAAAAAGGCGTGATCAATAAACATGAACAGATTGAAGCATTAAATGGAATGCATGCCCTGGGGGCCAAGAAAACAATATGTATTAGGTGACTCATGCCATGACCCTGTGACCTTCATCACTGAGCCTCAAGGGAAATTTTGACATTGGCATGGTTACCATGGTAATCTGGCGGTTGATCATAAATTTCCGGGTTAGAAATGTACAGCCCAACTCTACAATGACAATGTGATTTGATATTTCAGTGAGAAGGATTCATTTTGTGCTTCGCTATATGTTGATTTAACTCTGTAGTAATGCACCTGACAAAATACAGCTAAATATGCAAAGCAATAATTCTGCAATGTATTGTTTGTGCCCACATTATTTAAAACAAACAATGATGTCTAAGAGAAACCCTAAGACAAATGTTTTTCAGAAGTTTAGTTGGGAAGTTTGGGCATTTTTAGTACACTAAAATATGTGGTATCTGCAAAAGTGCAAGGGTTAACGGGCTTAGTAGTCAGTGGATTAACTCTTTGAGGCCCAAGCAACGGTGTAAGCGTTTATAGAGAAGTTCCGTTTTGCCCAAACAACGCCGTCATCGTCAATCGTGTGTCTCATACATATTGCTTCGCACATGGCTCTGTACTTGTTTTTAATGTTCAGAACTACGATACAATTATTCAGGGAAAATAGCTCTAACGATTGCTTCTTAACTACATCCCGTATCTAAAGCCACACGTGAATAGATTGATCGGAGTCATAGCTACATTTTGTTCAACAGTTCCTTTACTAAGTTCGTTTTCGAGGGCCATGAATACCAATGTTCCAACCACAAGTACAGGTCGCAGAATGTGTCTTTCTGCGACCAAAGCTCTGAAATTGTTTTAGTCAGATGTTTTTAATTCAGATAATGATAATGAAAATTTTGATTTTTTGGAAAGTGATTCCGACGGTGAATTTTCATCAGCAGAGCTGAGCAATCAGCTGTTGGGAATCTAGAGATTCTGATGAGTTTACACAAACAATGTCTCACTGCTACTGTATTTATGGTGTAAGAAAAGGAAAGTGCTCCAAACAAAGAGACAGTATTATACTATGGCTAAGCTACATTGACATTTTTATCAGCTACAGTCTGTATTTAACTGTACAAAGTAAATAGTAAATAATGTGTGTGTAATGGCCCATATTTCTGCCATTTTTTCTCTGAAATTTTGCTCAGCAGTCTGTGAGAATTAAGAGCCCCTGAGTGCTAAACTAATCCAGAAACATCATAACTTTGGAATTTTAAAATTTTGTTCTAAAATTTGGATATTCACTACTCTTGTGGCTGCAAAACCATGGTAAGTGAAGAATTTGTCTGTAAAATGTTGTTTTTGTGAAATTAACACCTGCTGAATTCTTCTTTTCTACTAACTATAACAAAATTAAACATATACTTATCATTAGATTCAAAATGGACATTAAAATCTCTTTTAAAAAATATTTACTTTT